TGAACTTCCCACGCTCCTGTTGGGGGCTAAGAACCCGCTTATCTCCCTGAGCCTGGCCTTCATAAGTCCATTCCCTCACACACACCATCTCACAAGGCAGCCTATTTCACTGGTTGACAGTTCTTACTGTCAGGAAATTCCTCCTAATATCTAACCTGAGTCTCCTTCCCTGCAGATTCAACCTCTTAGTTTTGGTCCTGCCCTCCGGATCAACAGAGAATATGTGCACACCCTCCTCTCTACGATAACCTTTTAGGTCTCTGAAGACTGCCATAGTATCTCCCCTCAATCTTCTCTTCTGAAGACAGTTCCTTTACCTGCTTCTCATAGGATTTGATTTCTTGCCCCTTCATGTTTTTGGAAGCCCTCCTCAGAACTCACTCCAGTTTGTCAATGTCCTAGGCAGAGGAACAAGTACTTATTGTGACCTGGACTCTGTGCTCCTGTGAGTACATACCAAAATTACCTTTTCTGCATTAAAGAGAATGTTGAAGAGAACAGGGCCTAGGACAGAGCCCTCTGGCACTTCATTGCATCCTACTCTCAAAGCTGAAGTAGAGCCATTAATGAGCACTGTTTTGGTGTGCGGTCATTCAATCAGCTGTGAGCTCATCTAATGGTAGCATCGCTTCTTCTGCACGTTACCATTTTATTAAAGAACTTTGTTGAATGATTTGCTGCAACCAAGGTACATTAAGTCCATGGTATTCCCCTGATCTATTAAGCTAGTAACTCTAGATAAGGTTAATCTTTCAAGACTTGTTCATGACAAACTCATGCTGGCTCTTGTGAACTGATGCATTCCTATCCAAGTGCTCATAAATATCGTGCTTAATCATATGCTGAAGACCTTGCGCAGGATAGGCATCAGGGTGTGAGGCTTCCTCCTTCCCTTTTTGGAAGACAGGGACGACATCTACTCTCCTCTAGTCTTCTGGAATCTCACCAGTTCTCTGTAGAGATCTCCTACCCAAGGACTAACCAGTCTGAACCTGCTTAGCTTCTGAGCCCAGTTAAACAGGGGCAGCCTCAAAATATTAAAAGGGTTGCCTCAGTATTCAACTGAATAACAATAATGGGGCAGCCCCAAAGGAGGAACACATGAATTAGCCATGAATGTGGTAGGACAGGAAAGAAAAAACACAACCAGGAGGGCATAATTCCTGCAGGGACTTGAAGAACTGGCTTTGCAAGGGACTGGAACCAATTTGCTTAGAGGAGGAAATACAGAACAACTAAAATGATTTGTCAACCATTATCAGAGTTGAACTGAGAGCGTTAGATCCCTCTCCCACCCCGGTAGACCAGGAAATTGGAAAAGGAGACAGAACTGGCGAAGAAGAGTTGCCAAATGACATCAACTAAATGCTCTCTGGCTTAAAAACAAAATCAGACTGTTGCAAGACGAAGTGCTGCATCCTGACATCTTAGCTTTCCTCTGTAGAACCTTCTCCCGCTAACATTTACCCACCTGATAAGATTGAGTAGAGTGGGCTCACTCCAGGTCTCTTCTCTCAAGGACTACATCTGCATGGATTCTGGAAGAGTACCTTTGCAGGAACTCCTGCCCCAAACAGCTTGCCCCCAGACAACCGAATGACCCCTTCCTCTTGGCCTTCCATCAGGCCACAGGAGCCGGAAAGCCACCGCTGCTCCTCTTGGGGAAGAAAGCGGTTCTAACGTCTGGCCCACTGAGTGTGGTATTCCTGATGTTTCACCTTTTTCTTTTCCTATTGATTTGCTTTATGGTTATTATTTATATTGTTACAGGAGGATTGTACACCAGTCAGAATCAGCTACAACTGAAATGACTTAGAAGCCTTGTAAATCAGATAGATAGATAGATAGATAGATAGATAGATAGATAGATAGATAGATAGATAGATAGATCTGTAAACTTGCTCTACCTCTCTTCTCCTGAGGCTTTCTTTCTGAATGAAAAGCAGCCAATGCATTTTAATACCACCAAGCCACAATCTCCACAAAACCAACATGCTTTGGGTGTCTACACTGCCTCTGATTTACAGGTGTGCTATACCCATGTCAAAGTCAGATTCAGAGAAACAGTCTGACATTCAGACAAAGAAGATCCTCCATCCCACATACGCCAAGAGGAGATCCATGGATACAAGACAGCCCTTGGGTCAACCAAGAAGCGCATTTAACGCAGATTTGAGGATAGCTCAAACCTACCCCCAAATCCCAAGTATGCGCCCCACTGAAGGATAAAAATTTAAAATCTAAATCAACCCACCACATGAGATGTGTGCCATTCACAAGGAACACTACTGGGACACTATGGAGTAAAGGATTTAAGGAACACAGGAGGAGAAGGGAGGTATTTGTTTTGCATGTGTCTTCAAAGTACATAATGAATAAAGAAGAGCTACAAATGGATCAGCCTAACACTTACACACCGATTAACATTAATCAGGGCTAAGAGATTTCAATAGCAAAGTACTGCTGGCAATGGACTGTAGCTCGCTTGAAGTATCCCAGCCACTTCTGCAATGCCTGTTGCCCCTCATTTCTGGTTTATTCTTTTTTTTTTCCAGGAAAGATTCTTCCCACAGACCTGGTGGCTGGGGATAGAGAGGGGGTGGAAAGCAGAGGACGGAGTTGTTGAGGTGGATGTGGCTCTTTCTGGCCGCTACTCCTGACACCCGGCCGGTTAACCACCGGTTTGCCCTCTCCGCACCCTCGAAGGTTGGCCAACACAATGACTTACACTTTAAGTAAATGAAATTAAAACAAGCCAGGTTTTCAGATGGATTCAATCTTACCGTTATCAGTTCGGGCAAGGCAGTAACTGGAACCACAGTATGGCTTAGGATGTCATGTGGACATGCCCGTATTGAAAACACATGTCAACACTTGACATTTTGGAAGAGAACAAAATAGCACATGATTCTTTAAAGCTGAATGTTAACGGTCCTTCTAGCTCTCACAGCAAAAGGGCTACATCTTCACAGTGCCGGCCCCTCTAATATAAGAGCACCTGCAAAGCATACAATGAGATCCGAGGACAGGAATAGAGGCCTTTCTCTACAGGCACCTCGGTGAGTCGTGACGCATGAATGCCTGTGATGTCCCCAGTCACTCCCCTCCCCTGCAATGCCACCAAACTGAAATGGAGCAGAACCCAAGACACACCTTCCTTCCAGGAAAGGTTCCTCTTCTAGTACACTCGGCCTAGTGGACCCAATCCCTGCACGGCAGCCAAACGATCCAGTCTCAAAGAAGCAAGGAATGGGACCTGTAGAGGGGGGAAAGGGACAACAAGTTAATCAAAGGACACCTTCGTTCCAAACCCTTCTGAAAGGAGCCACTAATGGTGGCAGTTCTCCCCGTCAGCAATCGGTAGCCACAGCTAACAAGGCAGGAAGTGAGCAAAAAGAAATTAAGTTTACAGCAGTTTCTTCCACTTGAGATGAGTGCTTGCCTTGAAAAGCTGACACTGATCACAACACATGGAGGACCCACTGCCCCACGTTCATCTGCAGCAGCATCTTATCTCGGAGCAGAGGAGCACAATTGAGGCCTCAAAATTATACAAACTATATTTAATTAACGTAACATAATTCCAATTAAATTTACATTTAAGTTTGAAGTTCTGATCCCACCTCCAGCACCTTGCCCAAAGGTAAGAATAGACCAGAAGAAGTTGCATTCTCCTGAATTACAGGGTCTCAGGGAACAGGCATCACCAGCAGACATATGCACTTGATTTATGCCACGACCAGCAACTCCACACCAGCCAGGAGTTTTTTTTACTTCCAAGTTTGAGCATTATGGTCTTTGCTTTTTTGCCCTGGAAACATGAGCATAAGAAAACAAGCACAATTTCATCCATTGCAAAAGAGCCTCCACTAAGTTTTACTGCTGAACCCTTATCACTAAAAGCATGATGGAATGACTGTACATACAAGCTGCATTCCCTCTTTCAATCTGCTGCCTGAAACACTGGAAAGGTAGCATTTCTTCGCTCCTTCCTGTTGAAGGACATGATTTAAAGAGAGAGAAAGAGTGAAAGTGAAAAATAGGTTGCATAGATGGTGTCAACAACATAATGGAGTGTGTTTCTCAGACCGCAGCTCCTAGCAAGAGGAGGGGTTAACCTCACAACTGCTGGGGAAAATGTGTTTGGAAGTTCCTTGCAAACCTGATCCAGTCCCGGGGTGGAGGGCAAGAAGAGGGGAAGAGAAATAGTGTGATGTCGAGCACTGGACTGGGACTGGGAGGGTATGCAGGATGGAAGCACCCAATAAATACATGAATAGGACAGGTTATGTGACCCAAGGATTCCAGTGTCTGGAAGAACTCAAAGTCTCCATGCAGGAGCATGAACGTGATTTGGGAGCCATTCCTGAGTGCGGGGATAGAAAGGTCCAACTTATTCAGAGAGGCCTGAAATGTAAAGGGAGCGCGGGCATCTTTAGAGATCC